ACAATGGCACTCTCTGCAAGGTAATTACTCAACTCAAACCACAGTATTTAGCTCTACCAACCAAAGCTAATGACAATTTTTGGAAGTGTTCAAAATATATTCAAAGCCTCTACAGCCAATTGGTTACGGTGCATGCCAAAGAGTTGCACCATCCCTGGCTCAGTTCCAGTTGAGGACCTTTGTTGCATGCCCCCCCCCCACCCCCCCCTCCCCCCCCCGTTTCCTGTCTCCCCTTCAGTTTTGACTGTCCCAAAATTTAATTGGCTTTTTAAAAAATGAATTGATAAATGGCTGGCACCTGGTGCAGAACAAATTATTTAGAGTGTGACATGCACAGGTTTGATTGGTTTTGTACAGTTTAAATAGAGGTGTGAAATGCATAGACAGAGGTGTTTTGTTGCATGTGTGGATCTACTGGACGCTCTACTGGAGAGTTCATGCATAGTGACAGCTGGTTGCAGCACTTTGCCATTAAGGGTAGCAATGAGGTAAAAAAGAGCAGCAAAAGCAAGAAAAAATCTGATGTAAACAATACTGATGTTTCAAAACACTCAAAGACGATGTTTTATGAGATACGAAAGACATTGTTAGACCGTATGTTTGTTTGCAATGTAAACTCCACAGGATAGATTTATTAACAATTGTAACCACATTCAAGTTCATGTTGCATAACACAGATCTGGATTTTATCCTGCCCAATCACAGTGCAGTGCCCTTTCTTTACAAATGTATTTGTCGCAGATGTCTGGGGAAAACTGGGTGACTCTGCTCCTGGGATTGATGCAGCATGAGCTGGTTCTTTCTGACATCTTTCTGACATGTTTCAGAAGGGTTTTTAACGCAACAGACTGCTGGCTGAAATATTTAGCAGTCAGCAAGTCACAGAGAGGCCTGCTGGGCAATCGCCAGTGCAACATTCACCTATTCAATCTATATTTCATGGTCATGAATGAATGAATGACTGGCTTTTCTTTATATAGCATCTTCCTGACGGGAGGGGGACTAGTTAATGAAATGTAGAGGTTAAGTAAAAGTAACAGGAATGAGGTAACTGCAACTACAACTCACTGATGCACTCTGTGATTTTTTTTTAGGTTTTACTAAACCCCTACCAAACCTTTTTAACCTTTACTGAATCATACATAAGTTGACAAATAAACCTGGGCCTGAACAAAGACTGGAAGGCCACTTTTAAACTCTGCTGCAACCCTGTCTTTGTTTATTATCATGTCAGGGGGGTAGTCGACAGAATGCACAAAGTCCTTTGCCATTTTAGCAGACATTAATGTCCTCCTCCAGGTATGTTTTAAAGTATGTAAAATACTTACACTTATACTACTACTTTACTTTACAAGGATTCCCCACATTATAACAGTTTAAAAGAACTCTGAAAAAGGGCTGTAAGCCAATCCACTCTTTCTCCCTCATTGAGAAATTCTAGATCGGTCCCCCAATCTGCCCACCGCTGCTGCTTGCGGTAGGTTTTGCTTTGCACCTTCTCCAGTGCAGCTCGCACTAGTTGACCGTTGAAAGAGTGGTGCATTAACGTTAAAGGAAACACTGGAAAGATTCAGCCATACATGTTTGAGCCTCAGTCAGACCAAGATTCAGATGAAGAGTCTGTTGTGCACCAAAATCAGTGACAGACGTACCAGAATGTTAAGTGTAATTACCATCTTTATTTATGTTGTTTGTTAGCTTGCAGGGTAACTAGCAATGGCTTACACAGTGTTAGTGGTTGTGAAACATACATAATATCTGCTGCAATGTTACAATGTTAACACTGGCCCAGTTTGCAGCCAAAAACTACAACTCTACCATATTTGCTGTCAAAACCTTGCTCCTTGCTCTCTGCCCCCCGGTCTGCGCAGGAATTTCGTGTTTCTTTGGCGGTGTTTCCCGTATCAGTCAGCGATTGGTTTGCGTATTAGTGTAATGTACTTACGATGTATATATCATATACATATAATGTACATAAACTAGCTTGCACAGCATATGTTGGAATCTTAGATTGTAAGGAGGTACACAGACATCACCTCCTTTAGTGGAAGAATGAAAAAACACCTCGCTAGTGGCAAACTTTGCACAGATACAAGTCAGTATAGCCAAGGTCAAATATTTAGGGGACATAAACACAAGAAAAACAATTTTGAGTGGAAGAGGACTTTGAAAATAAGGAACACTGAATATATTTTAAATATAAGATGTCCATGTCAGGATGTTAAAGAATTCCTTTATCAGCTCCTCAAGGTGAAATTAAATTTTTTTTCACGCTGTTGTTATTTTACAGATTACACACACACAGACCTGAAATAAAGACACATGCATTTATGGAGAGATGTCAGAGCGAGAGGGCTGCCCATGGACAGGCTCCTCAAGCAGCTGAGGTTTCAGTGCCTTGCTTTAGGGCGCCACAGCAGTGTCCAGAAGCATGAGCTGGCACCAGTAACCCTCCAGTTCCCAAGCAAAGTCCCCATAGACTGAGCTACTGCCCCTGTAAACAAGCCCCATATGTTTTGAAAATGAACAGGACCAATACCACTGAGTAGTTGTTACCTTAACTGGAGATGAAGACCCCAGCTGCTCACCTCTGCTCTGAGCTGGTCTCCCAGAACTGGATGGTTGGAAATTTTAACTTGCCACCTCAGAGAGTTGTGAGCAGATCTAGAATCAGCCTTACTATTCAAGCCAGGACTCGAATCGACCTGGGGCACAGAGTTCTGACCCCATGAAAACATTCCATTACTGTCCATGTGGGGGGTACATGTAAGGCAGAAGGAGCGTATGTCCACACCCAGTGATGACCATCACAGGGAGATCGAGAGGCAATGTAGTTTTTACTCTTTGGATGCCCAGTCTGTGCCACTGTGGGGCCACTCCTTGTTCTGGTATGCCCCTCTATGGACACAATGTCAGCCCCCCACAAAGAGGAGGCCCAGCAAGCACCAGGGACATAGAGACCATACAGTGGGGGATGTCTGTTACTGAGGACAATCTCCAGCAGTTCTTGGCACTATGTTTGTTGACTCAGCTACATACACGGTACCTGCCAATTAATCTTATTCCCGTCAATTGCTCTTGGCAAAATTGATAGTGAAACCCACCAATACCATGGGGGCCTTTTGGCACACATACATGTGGTGTCAGAGTCCCAAGGCACACACACACACACACACACACACACACACACACACACACACACACACACACACACACACACAGTCATAAACTGGCATGCTGACATAAGAAAATAAGTCTGTTGAAAAAAGAAACTACCATTTGTTTACCTATAGAAAATTGTGATTCACAATTCAAACTTTGCTGCAGTCTATTTCAAGAGAAGAGTGCATGAAAATTAAGTCTGTTCTCCCTAAATCTGCCGAAGACATCATAGAGTTTCCTACCTCTTTCACTTTTAATAGGTCAGAGATACAAGCAAGTATAATCACACATATTCCACAACCCCCAGGAATGTTCAAATCCACAGCCCAGTTTTTATGCTTTATGACAGAATAGAGTTTAATTATGAAACTATTGTATTTTCATATCTTGAAGATGTTAAAATCAAGAACGACCTTTTATGCACCTCAAGATGAGCGTGATCTCGCCTGCCACAGTAAGGGTCTGAGGCAAAATACAGGAGGTGGGGGGTCCTTACCCTCATTCCTATTCATGCTAGGTGTCGGTGGGTACATGTTTACAGCTATTTGACCTTATCAGTGATGACTGACAGTTTCTTGCTGTTCTGCATGAGGGAACTGATCATTGGGAGTTTTCTCATGTCAGCCCTGAATTATGTACAATCGCACTGAAACTGTTGGCATCAACTAATACTGATACCAGGGTGAATGTAACAGTTTGTACACACACTAGCCTAAACCTTTGCCCCAGATCATAGCTTGAATCTGTCTTTGTGGGTGACGTGCCAGTGAGAACTGTGTTTAAAGGGACAGTTGACCTCAAAATCAAAAATGTTTTTTCTTCCTCTTACCTGTAGTGTTATCAGTCTAGACTGTTTTGGTGTGAGTTGCCAAGTGTTGGAGATATTGGCTGTAGACATGTCTGCCTTCTCTCCAACACTCAGCTTGTGGTGCTCAAAGTGCCAAAAAATACATTTGATAAACTCCACAGCAACATCTCTTTTCAGAAATCATGACCCTATTACTCGAGATAATCCGCAGACCTTGTTGTGAGCAGGTTCATGTGGGAAATATTTTCTTTTAGCAGAATTGCTATATATATTGCTATATATATTATTTTTAACTATAATACTTCATAGTCAATTTCATTTAGTTTTTTTCCATCTTCAAAGAAATGTTGAGATAAAGGACAACTTTACATTTTCCAAAAAGGTTTTTCTTTTTACATCCTTCAAAATCAAGAAGGCCTCGCACCCCCCTATGAAACTTTGGTGAGCCGTGGTGGGGGTTGAGTCCCCAAGTTTGGATTCTGTATTCTGTATCACTACAGACCAAATAAAAAGCTACAAAGGGCTTTATACAATCCATGGGATGACAAATAAATAATCAAACAACCTAAAATTTACAAAGTAAGCTTCAATTCAGGGACTGGTCATTTTAATTTAGATCCGTAACAACATTGTATTCCACATGAAATAACCAAATCACCAAGAAATGGGGAACGAGCAGCTGTCTCTATCACCTCTCCCCAAAGATTAGTAGCATACAGGTCTCCTGCTTTGTCACAGAGGGCTCTGGGATGACACCCTGATCCAACTCCCAAACCATAAATCATTCATCAGCAGCAGGTACAGAGAGTAGAAGCAGCCAGAGAGTAAGGAAGAGACCTGACCTTTCCCTGCTTGGTAGAGATACAGCAGATAACAATAGTCAGAATCATCTGCTTATTTCAGCACAATATCCAATGTTCTGCTTTAAAATCACATGTAATACTGGACTATATAAATACAGTACCATTATGCTTCTAATTCACTTTTTCTCAACATGTCTCTGCCTCTACATTCTTCTCACCTTCCCCAGAACATGACTTGAAGATGAGCTGTCCTCAGGCTGAGTTAGAGGAGGAATGTCCTCCACCAGAGGAATTAGAGTGTAAGATCTGTTACCAACGCTACAATGTCAACAATCGCAAGCCTAAGATCCTGGACTGCCTGCACCGGGTCTGCGCCCGCTGCCTCATTAAGATCCTGGACATTGCAGATGGAGCAGGTTTCATCTCCTGCCCCTTTTGCCGACACCAAACTGAAATCACAGAGTACGAGGTGTCAGCCCTCCCTGATGATGCTATCATCATGTCCCATTTGGCAATGCGGGACAAATCCTGGAGTTCCGACCACAACAAGGAGGTGGTCCTGACTCCGACGAGTTTCTCTTCCTCCAGCCCATCTCATGACTCCTCCAACTGCCTGGTCATCACTATAATGGAAGTGCAGAGGGACTCACAGCACTCCCCAAGCAGAAATGGCAGCTCCGATGTCTATGCTGAGCAGAGCCTGGACTCAGTATCGATGGGCTCCAATGGGCTGGCTGATCAGGACGCCCTGTCCAAGTTCTGTAATCATGTCCCACGCATCCTGGTCTGGCTGCTGGGTTTCTTGTACTTTGGCTCACTGCCTCTAGGAATCTACTTGCTGGTGATTCAGAGAGTAACACTGGGCATTGTATGTGTGAGCTTGGTGCCGTCAAGCCTGACAGTTTGCCTGGTCTATGGGTTCTGCCAGTGTCTGTGCCAGGGCATGTGTGACTGCTCCTCCAGGGGCTGATAGGATGCTATCAGAGGACTGGTAGTGCAAGGATGGGATAAAGTCAGCCACAGTAAACAGGTATTTGATTTGATTTGTGAAAAGAAATGGTGTCAAAAGGTAAAGAGGGTGACCTCTCCTATAAAGACTTTGCAAGCCTACCAGTCAGTTATCTTCATGCAAATAATGGGGCTAGTTAAGAGACCTTTAGTATTGGTCCAGGCTTTTGTTAGGCCAACTGCTGCAACTCAGAGACCAGTCTGGCCCAACAGAAACAGAGCCTCTGACAAGATGTGTCAGGTGGAGCAGCGCCTGAACCTACAATTCTGTGATGTATTTCTGTATCCTTTATCTGTTCTGTGTTGTGTGTATGACCTAGTCCATTAATCTGTGACTTGCATAAGGACAGCACTGATAGAGTCCTGGGCCCTCATTTATCAACACTGTGTACCCAACAAAAATCTTGCATGCAGTCATCTATTTTTTTTTGTTTTGTTATTCTGAGGATGATAAGTTAATTAACAATTGCATTTAAGCATGATTGTTTGATTTTCTCTATTTTCGTGTCATGCACATGAAGTGCCCAACCCTCCTGGATTTACAAGACATCAAAAGTTCAGGTGCAGTGGTCAAACATCTCATAACATAATTACAGGTTATTTTACAGCTCAGTCCTCTACAAAATATTCTACCCGCTTTCCAAAGTTTGGCAAATAAAATCTGCAGCAAAAACGGTTTCATTTCTGAAGCACAAGTCAAGTTTTACAGTGATCCAGCCAAAGTAAATTAATATAAATGGATGTCATTTTACTGAAAGCACACCCCTTATGTCCTGGTAAACAGGACGGTAAAACAAAAAATTGAACCTCATTGAGAGTCTCACCTAGCTTACACATGAATAGATAATTGCAAGTTCCCAATAACAAAAAGGGCGTAAAATCATATTGTAGGCAATATGAACACAAGTTAAACTTTAAGGCACCTTTGGGCAGATTGACAGTAGAAATACAATACAAAATACATATTATGCAAATATGTCTTTTTTTCATTTACCTTTCATTTTTAGTTAGTGTCCATCATGTCTAGCCTGCATTCAAGGTAGTGTTACCAAATATTTCTTCTCTCTGTTTAAGCTACAGGTAACTCAAAGTTGGATATATCTCAATCATGATACTGGTCTTGCCATGAGCTCCTAGAAATGCATTGAGGAAAAGCATTGGTGCGCTGATATCTATGGGCTGAAAAGTTTCAGTCTGTTGAACCTGTTGATGTAAGACTGTTGTAACATCTTTACATCCTGGTAGAAACACTGCTCTTCCAGGGCAATGTGACTAACAAAGAGTGTCCATTGGCAGGATTTTTCAGCATAAAAGTTCAAAGTGCTCCAGGTAAGAAAGACAAAGGATATTGACATGTAATGCACAGACAAGGCAAGGCAAGGACTAAATACCCAATTAACTGTAAACTGGCAGTAATATTTTATTTACCTATTTTACTGTCACAGCAGTGTCTTTGAGAACACATGTGATGAGGCTGTTGTTGTTGCATATTGAATGTGTCCATCTCCATCTCTATCTTATTCTCTGCCTCAAATATAAACAACACTCAAGAGTTTTTGCGTTGATTGGATTTTTTATTTTTATTTTTTTGATTTGGTTCAAATAAGGCATAAACCAGACTCAGATCTCAGGTTCTTTGATACTCTTTTAATGTTAAGCAACAAACTTTCCATTCAGTTCCTTGTTGGGTTGAACATAGCAAGGCTGCTCTGTTGTATATGTGGTACTGCTTGTAAAAGGCTCATTTGGCTTGGTATACAGTTTATGTCTATGGGAGTCCTCTGTTACCTTCATGCTGTAAGTCACCATATTGAAGCAATGTGGATTTGATGTTGTGTGGCGCCTCGAGATTGTGTGCATTATTTATGTGGCATCTTGATTTTTATTTGCATGTAAGAGAAACTTTCCCCTACATGTACTATCATGGCATATGGACTCCTGAAAGAAAGGTCACAATAAACTATGGTGTAATTTTAATGTAATTTCACATGCATGTGGAGGAAAAATGCTATTTTTAGTCAAGTCTACTCAAGCTTTAAGTTCCCCTGTGAGTATTACAAAGTAGTCTCCTCTGTGACTAAAACATACATTTTGTAAGTGAAGCCTGTTGTTCACGAGCATGGTGGTGTAGAAATTGTGAGGTTTATAAATTCACATTACTTTAGGGGGTGCTTGGGGCAGTTATGCATATTTGACAATTACCAACTTTCTTGTAGTCACAAGCATTCTACATTTTACTCATAGGAGTCAATTTATAACCTTTTGTGTACAATGTTGATAACCGAGGGCCCTGGGATGATGACTCTTAGATATATTAAATGATAAACTTCAGGTGATGCTATTTCTCATCAAAATGGATATGTAGCATTTTGTGAAGGGGGGGGTGATTTCATGCTAACCTGTTCCTCTATAATGTAAGTCCTGTTTATTCTAAATGAACTGATAAATGGTAAATGGACTGTTTGTTCTCTGATGTTGGGGTTCTATATTCTTTTTACCTTTCCTTCGTCACCGTCCTTCTACCGCTATTTCTATACCATCTCTGTTTTCCTGTGTTTTCCTGTGTTTCTCTCAATGATCTACTGACTGCAGCTCTCAGCTTAGTGTCACACTACTGATTACAGAAGCTACAATGAAATAAATGTAAAATTATTTTCTATATGTTGCTTATGTACTTATTTTATGTTTGCTGCCTGCTCATTCAGTCCACAACAATCAACAGTGCTGTCATCAAGGACACAGGATGCTGTTTTCATATTTTAAAACGCTAAAATTACAAATGTGTGGGCTTATTTGTAATTCTACTGAGAAAACAGGAGATACATTTCAATCTCAAATCCACTGGATTTCTGAAGTCTCTTAACACAATTTGTAACAGGATTCTCCAAATCGCAAGAAAAAATGTTGGTATTGTGAGTTTCTAATACTTTACATTTGCACATTATTATCTAGCAGATATGTTTACTTGTTTCAATTATGTTTCAACAATGCTGAGGTTAACATGTTGCTATATTTAGGCACAAAAACCACTTAGTTATGGTTAGGAAAACTGTTTTTTTGTTGTTGTTTTTTTCAGTTTTGGTGCCAAAATTATGCCAGGAAAAGCAGTGGTGTCTCAGTGTTGTCGTGACACGATCCTCACTGACAAATTGCTACAAATGCCTATGCTTAGAGCCTAGAAAGCTGCTGGAAAAATGCTGATGGGTCGCTACAAACGACCACATTTGCAACCTAAAAAGCCATTAAAAACACTGCAATGACTCGCTAAAACACAACTGGTTGTGTTGTTTGTTGGTCTCCAACAGTAGTCTGCAGCTTGGCAGGCAAAACGCCTAGGTAACACACCATCCGCTCCACCTCCCAATGACAAAGTAAGCTCATATACTACATCAATTTGAAAACAGTTATGATACATATGAAACATGCAGTTGCAACACACTGCTGGTTTGCAGAAACATACAATGCCAACATTTTCTTCTGGTGACTGGGCTGAGATTCTCTGTGACATTACATGATTGATGAGATGGAGGTCTGGCTGCACAAGATAAATTTCAGGTGTCACTAAATAGTGATAGCTCCAAAGAATGACAACAGAAGAGCTATTTTCTTTTGCAATGAATGATTTTAACTGCATGGTAGTACCTCATTTTTTTTAAGTACTATGATGGTCAAAGTTAATAAAGTATAAAGTACTGGGACTGGTTTATAAAGTACAACAACTAGAGGCAGAAACATTTAGGAGTAAGAGAAAAGAGAAACCAATAAATGTGAGATGACAGACAACAGCAGCAGGTCAGACAGTAGAGAGAGATTTCATTTTCTGCCCAAGTTGGCAGAGCTGTAGGACACAGTGTTCGTCAGTGGAGTGTTTGTCCTGCTGGTTTTATGGTCTGACATATTCAGGAGCCTGCTTTCATGAGGGTCAGGTGACAGGTTACTTGAAAAAAATATTACTCTCCTCCCCTACATCTGAAAATGACCACATTGGTCAAAATATAAGACAACCCTGAATATGAGAAAACTCTGTCTGGGTTACTTGGGGTAATCCACAGACCTCACTGACATCAATTTCCAAACGGGTTCTTTCTCTCTTTAAAAATGGTGCCAATTACACAATGTGTAGCGTAGTGAGGTGAAGTGTTGCTTGTCAAAGAAAAGTTAAGAATCCTTGAGAATTCAACTTTTTTTTCAGCTTTCAAGTACAAGCCAGAAAGTGTCTTGAAACACCTAGCTGCTAGCTGACACCATTAGCCAAATTGGGCTAATGAGTTAAGTGAAAGAAGTTAATTTGTTCAAGTCTTTCATCACCATAATGAGCTTGGAATGGGAAACAAAGTAATCTTACACTGATGTCAGGCACCACGGGTCACGCAAACCTGTGACCTGGCTATATTTATACATGCATTCACTAAAATATTCAACATTTTAAGGTGTTCCAAGGAGATGGAGGAGCATTAATTTTAATTACACATGAATAATGTAGTCGTAATCTGCTTTCTCCTTATGGCACACAGTCCTTATCTTTTCAGTTTATAAGATGGCAACATTGAGATCACAGCTTGATAAGAATCAAAGGAGAGTTGGAGATGATTATAGAGTTTATGGCCGGTTACTAAAAAGAAAGCAGCTGCTGGAAATTGGTAGCATTTCACCTTGGTATGAAAAGTGAGAGCAAGATAACTTTGAATTAACATTCCCATCTCAGAATAAATCACCTACTGCTGTGAGACTGAGTGTCTCATCAGCAGCCCCCATGAGCTGCTGATGAGGAATACAAAAGGGACTGTGCTGTGGAAAATCTGACTGAAGCAGGTAAAAAGCTATGGCAAAAAAATCTATTTTACATTTGCAATTCAATTTTGATGTCTTCGGGTGAATCACTGAGCTTTAAAATGGACCATTTGTGAAAATGTGCAGCCATCATCTTGTGGACTTTTATTGTCATTTAAACTGATTGGCCTCCATCAAGTTAAATGAGTTGAGAGTTTATTCGAGGTCGTCAAACAGGGAGGGGATGGGGATGAGGGGGAGGTCATGCGCTGGTGGGAAGATGCTGCATCTGGTAGTTGAGAGTAAGATCCCAACAAAAATCTTTTTGGCTAAATTCTATACATCAAAATAACTGATGGACTGTCAGACCTGGGGTAAATTTGATTGATTTATTGTCACTAACAGTAGTGGAAAAAGTGATCTTTTGACCATCCTTACTGATGTATTTCACTATTTATTTTTGTACATCTGCACATATATGTCTTTTCTTGGATGCTCTGTCCATACTGAAAAGTTGTGACTCATTAAGAGATACCTAGTCTCTATATACAGACTCTCCATTCAGTGAATGTAGAGTCTGTAGGCAAACCCCGGAGATCTTGCCTCCGGAAGAAAAGTGGAAGAGCCCTGATTTCCGGTTGTAGGCTGTTTGTAGTCCGCGTGATACTGACCAATCATGTTTCAGCCAGCTGCAGTTTTGCCGGGTTAAATGGTCCATGCGGTGAGGCGGAACATAATTGGCATCACTGCAAACTCTGAATCCATCGCAATGGTTCAGCATATTTACTTATATATAAACAGAAGTCGGAAACAGAAATTCACCTCCTCCGCCCAAATCAAACCAGAATACCAAAAAATCGGGGGTCTGGCTGTATCGCCATCTGCCGGAAGTAGGACGCCGAATACAGCCGATGGGTTCCGAGAATGATAGATACCAAACTCCATTTCCACATGAGGCAGATGTATGAATGACTAGCAATGTTAACATATTGTTGATTTGGGCTTTTTTCTCTTCAGGATATTCAGAGCCTTCATGCCTAATGGAATCTAAGTCAACCTTACAAATGTGCTTGTTTCAGTAGGTATCACCACTGATGGGGAAGAAACTCATTTTATGACTTTGAAGAGTTTCACATGTTTCTAATAAGTGTGGGTTTGAGACTTAGATCAGGATCAGGCTGTTGAAAATAAATTCATATCTCTACATAAGCCTATATCATTTTTTGTTTCTTCCCTCCCTTTACTATCATTTTGCGTGAAAGGGGTTTTTATTAAGTTACTTAGTGAATAGCATTTTGCGATAATATATTACTTACTATCAATAAATGGTTAACATTGCACTGAAATTTTCATGTTGTTTGATTTGGTTGTAGGTGAGGTGCAAAGGCCTCTGAAAATAACAGAATCTTGTAACTGCACACAGAAATGTCGTATGCTGACATGAATAATAATATTCATGCAGTCCTGTGTAGAATCAAGACATGAGGCTAAAAGAGCTTTTCAGTCACAACCACTGAACCACTGAATCACTGCATCATATCGCCAGCATTGAGGAGTAGTGAACTGCCTGTAATAAAACTAGGAGTTTAACTATATTTTGCAAGTGTAACGTGTTTGTAGTTCAACTACACTCACAAGCATTTAAATAACTTTTTTGTGCCGTTTTGTGTAGTTCACTACTGACACTACAAACAAATTTGGGCCATAGAGGGAAAGAAATGCATTTTTATTTTACCAGTTCTGTAACTGCAATCAAACTCTCTTTGAACAAACTAGATGTGACTGTATTGATTCTTGCTAGATATTAACAAATGTTCAGAGAAGCTGTTGCATGTATTTTTTAGAAGTTACCGTGCGAACTGAGTAATCCTGCTTGGTGCAATACCCCACCCAGACTCGTGATCAGAGCTGATCAGATCAAAGGATGAGAGAAGCGACTGTTTGTGAGTTAAAGCAAACTTTTAGACCCAGCTCAATGAACAGTTGTGTTTCACTTTCACTGGGAAACACTGCGGGGTATTGTTCATACACATTAAGTGATGACAAGCAACACTGACTGGGCTAGATCCCATTTTAAATAAAAGGACAATAAAGCAAAAAAGTTAAATATCAGTCTCATTACAAATACAAACAAAATAAAAAACCAAGTATCAAAGAATGACAAAATTTAAAGATTTGATGCAAATTGAAGAAAGAATGTTCCCGGTGCAGTGCAAACCCCCTCGTCACCATGTCTGTAAATGTTTCAGTGAAGGAATTCAAACATCATTACTGTGGTGCTGACATTCTTAATTGATTTATCGATGAGTCAATAGACAAAGTATAATTTTGATTAATCATTTACCTAAGTTATATAACAAACATGATCTGGTTATATTCTCGTAAATGTTGAGATTTGATTTGTTTTCTTTTCTTATGAATTCAGTATCTTTAGGTTTAGGGATGCACCGAAATGAAAATTTGTGGCCGAACCTGAAGCCGAATAATATTAAACGCTTGGCCGAATACCGAGTACCGAATACCGAATATCGTTGTTTAGTTTTTCATTAGTTTTTGCAGATGAACCCCCTCCAGATTAGTGTTGTCACGGTACCAAAATTGGATCCCACTGTACGATATCATGGTTCTGAGTAGTATCATGATACCACAGCAAAAATGAGGCAGGTGTGCCTTTTGTCATTTATAAAAAGATAAATCACTTTTCTATTATAGGCTACATCAATGATATTTCAATGGAATAAATTACTTATTGACTTATTCATACTTCAAAAACAGCATCAATGAGTGATGAACATAGGGGGGATCAAAATAAAATAAATAAATAAAATAAGAATCAACCAGCCACCCTCCTCCCCTTCATAAGTAAAGAACAGTCCCTAAAGTGCGG